AAGGCTGCGAGGTTAACGATCACCGTCAACACACAATGACAACTACCACCTTGTAATTAAACGATTTTGCTGTAAATTAGTAAGCATTACGCTCTGCACAGAGGTCTCTTAGTGGCGAGTGTTAGAAATGTGGTAATTGAGAATGCTGGAGGAGAATATTAAAGTGAACAGAAATGATTGATCATGATATAGACTAGACACGTTCGAAGTTGCAGAAAGGGAACGGTGCAGGTGCAACAAGTCTTGAAAATCTTATCTCATTTCCGAATGTCATACAWTGTAAATATTTCTTCTCAAAAAAGTAATTTCAAAAGCACACTTTCGGTGACTCTGTGATGAAATGGAGTTCATTATTACATTAAAAGAYTATTATAAGTTTAGGGCACGTTATTATTACTATCTTTAAACGACAGTTTAATTAAAGTTATTGACTAGGTTGATTGAATGAATCCTCCAGAAAAGATCAACAATTATTTYATAATTGTAAAGATATGAATGATAAGATTGGTACAGGTAATGATTGATTATATCCCGTCATATAGTGTTCTTCAAAACAAGGRATAATCAGTATTAATAAACATTGAGGAAAAACAAAGGTCAATTCCGGGAACCCCCCATTGTGTTGTAAGGAGTTTCATCTCTAAACATTAAATAATAAACCATCGGTCTCTTGTGACATTCGCATATGTTTTTTTGTTGTTGTTGAATATATAAAAAAGTGTCGGAAAGTAAGGGACCCGGATCGCTATTTGCAGTTCATAAGTGGGAACTTTGCTTTGTCAAGCTCGACTAGTTGTAGCTGCCAACCATGAACACCACAAACTCAACAAACATGGGAAATTCATGTAACGATGTTKCAAGGCTACCGAAGCTTGTCTCCATATTGAGTCCTCTAGTCGTAATTAGTGTTTTGGGAAACATTTTCATCATCGTTCTGGCAGCCAAATATACTGTGCGTAAAAATCTCCATCATTTAATTATWAACTTATCAYTGGCCGATATTTTTATGATTCTTGCAAAAATGAATATGATGCTTAGCATGTACATTCTTGGCAGCAACAAAAGTAACACAGCCGAGAGCCCAAGCCTAACTTCAAAAGTCTTATGCGCTAGTTTTAGTYTTCTGAGAGACAGCATGTTTGATGTGACCTTGAGTTCTCTATTGATTATCAGTATTGAAAGATTCAGAGCGACCAGGAAAACATTGAMGAGATCTAAACCGTATAGTGTAACCCGACGAGCCGCCATTATAGCCTTCACCTGGGCATATTCTTTTGGATTCAACAGCTATTCAGTTTTTGCCTACAAAATTGAGAAAGTTGGAAATGCCTTTATATGCATTTTTGATGAACRRCCAACAAYTATTTATATRYTTTCTCTYWGTTCACGTATGTTTGTAGTTCAYTGTACCATAACCACACTCAGCATCTTAACCTTACGAAGACTTGCACAAACGCAGCCTATAGAAGCACATTTTTCTGAAGAGCAGAGGAAAAAGCGTGTCGAAAGGACAAGGCGAGTGGTCAGAATGGTAATCTGTTCATTGGTCGTCTTTACACTTTGTTATTTGCCTGTAATCATTTTAAGTTTCGTGACTATGTCAGGGATTAGAATTTGGGATGCTTCGGCAATAAACATAAGCATTGTTTGCCTGAAATTATCGCTAGCAAATTATATATCGGAATTTCTCCTTCCCATGATTAATTCGTCACTAAGTCCATGCATTTACCTATACTTTCTGCAAGACTTTCGAGAAGCTGCCAAGAACGTTTTTMACAAGAACTGGCAAGATCCTGAAAGGAATCGYAGGAATTTAAGCCAAAACCAAATAGAAAATTCGGCTTTGTGAGAGGAAGAGGTTCAAGAGGAAGAGGATGAGGTTCAAGAGGAAGAGGTTCAAGAGGAAGAGTTTCAAGAGGAAGAAGTTCAAGAGGAAGAGTTTCAAGAGGAAGAGGTTCAAGAGGAAGAGTTTCAAGAGGAAGAGGAAGAAGAAGAAGAAGAGGAAGCGTTCCTCTTCTAAGCTATCCTCCGTAACAAATAACTTTATTCCGAAAAGAAGCTTCCTCCGAGTCTTTCTATAACACCAGTGGCGGATCCAGGATTTTTCAAAGGGGGGTTTCCACTTTGTTTTTCGCATTTTCCTCAAACGAACTTTTTTACTGTGCCTCTCGAACTGTAGGAAATGTAAAGACACCCACATTTCATTTATCATTTACTTTTTTATGCTCGAGGTGTGTTCCTAGGAACCGATGGAACCCCCTGGATCCGCCACTGAACACCCACACTTTTTTAAATACCTTTTAGATTAACTTTGCCAAATGAATACTAATTAATCCTTTCTCATCTAACAAGAGACTAAAAGAAATGGCGACTAAAGATCAAAAACTATGAAGGCTCAGAATTCAAGATGATGTACATAATGATTTAACATTTATAACGTGCATTTTCTATCTGGATATTCGCATGTGTGCACTACTTTAAACAAACTAAAAATAAATGCAAATTCAAATTATTTATTAAGTGATGAGAGATTAATCCCTTATGAAATACAAATATAAAATGTAAAGACTAAAAACTATGCTACAATAAATTGAAATCTATACAAATATACGACTGAATTATTCAGTACAACTAATTTTAAAGGACGTAATGCCTGATTTAAACTTATTTAGCGATTCTTCATTCCTGATATCGAGAGAAGCATTCCAAAGTTTAGGGGCATCAGACTCAAAACCCCCAACATCTAATGTTGCCTTTAAAGGTTTAAAACTAACCTTCCAAAAGCTGGAATTAATGAAATGTCCTTATARCCACGAAGATTATGCCTAGAAACCCTAGTAACAGATACAAATTTTGGATGGTGTGGAAATCCACATCCAACATTTCACATTGGGCCATGATTTACTACAACACACGATTATAATATGTGGTGATTGTGGATACTTGCAGATATAGTGAATGCCTTTGAATATCACTAAATTTATTAATAAAAATGTAGGTCCACAAAATACTGCAGTATAAATACATTGTAATAGTTCAATGATTTTTGGTAGTTTGACTTACTTAATTGCAAAACTTGACAGCTTGTTGAGTTTTGTACGAATGCTCACATGCATCAGCTACTTTACTTGCTAATATGGTATCCTCAGCAGTCACTATAATATCGGCTTTCCCTTGRAYTGCATCTATAAAATGATTTAGTGCACCCTTGTAGGACTCAGCATAGCGCTGTGGGAAGGAATTATGGCATTTGTTCAGGTTAACGCCTCCTCCGCCATGAACCTGTACAGCTGTAGGTCTTGGGTTGTCACTAATCATCATAGCTTTGTCACCATGYACCTCAAGCCGCTGGTCATAACCAAAAGGTGATGTGCGATCAAGATTGATTGTAGCGAGTATACCACTTGGGAATTTTAAGCTTATCATAACACAGTCTACATCGTTTAGTTCTGCGACACTTGGGATAAAGGAATGAGCTTGTGCATACACAGTGCTTGGTGGCTCACCAGCGATTTTCAGTACCATGTCAATGTCATGTGTCCCACAATCATGGAAAATACCATTTGATATTTTTAGGWATGCAATTGATGGTATAGGACTGTCACGACTTGTAGTGGTGATGCTAYGGATGGTACCCATGCTACCACTTCGTGCTTCATGTATAACCCTGCCGTGTCCTGGGTCAAAACGACGGTTGAAAGAACACAATAAAGTCAATCSTCTTTTTTCAGCTTCCTCRTAGCAYTTGACTGTTGAAACGAAGTATATTTAACAATKAGATYTCRAGGKCGAGTGGACCGACTACGAGCTGACTAGTCGAGGACTACTGAAAATAGACCCAGAGTATCAWCCAGAGWATTAKTACTAACATTTCTGTTGTKCAGTTTTGTAGAAATAAAATAAAACGTACTCAGAACGCAGGTTTGGGTTGCCATGAACGAAATATAAGAYATACATAATACAAAATCTGCCACAATGGATGTATATTGGCWGTCACAGGGAGCCCAAGMTGGTGATTGCTGCRGGCTTAAATGTAAGAATACAGCATCATTGAAATATACATGCTAAAATACAGAAATTCTGATCTTATTGACTCATTTTCTAGCATATTTCTAGTATATAATATAAAATATATCTGAAATTATAGTGCAATGCAACTTAAAAAACATATCAGCGATGATGTCACATTTCATAATTTCTGAATGATGTATTTTATATATACTTGAAATATGAATCAAAATGATCAGAATTTCTGCATATGGCTGTAATAATAATGATTAAATATAATATATAGAGGATATTTCATGGTTGTGCAGAGATATGGATTTTATCTTCGAGTGTTGAATAGATCCAAGTGACCGCCATGTAATATTCTGTAATCATATAATTACATTATGAATTCAAAGCAAATTATGTCATAAAATACCTTTTTCCCTACTTCCTCTATATAGAGAAACCTCAAATGTGCTATTTTCACTAGTGAAAATATCAGCTTTACAAAATAGAGAAATATAGGTATTTCATAGTTTTAGTTATTACAGCCTTTTGCAAAAATTATGAGAATTGTCTAAATATCTAAATATCATAATATCCGTATCCATATATTGTCCGGAACACACGGGTTTGCTAGAATAATTCATTGTTGACATCGAGAAAATGTTCAGAACTACGGATAAGTCAGTCTCCAAAAAAAACTAAACAACAAAGACAAGGGACTAAGGGCATCGCGCGGGATCATGCACTTGATATTATGATATTTAGATATTTCAACAATTCTCATAATTTTTGCAAAAGGCTGTATATGATAAAAAAGAATATTTTCAAATAAAGTTTCTGTTCCTATTTTTTCTTATGAGGGAGGAACGGAGATTGGAAAAACACACACAATCAAGCTTTAATTACACCCAATGAATGGAAACAAGTTCAACTCATGATTTTTTATACATTATTATAATTATTATTACAGCAATATGCAGAAATTATGATCATTTTGAATCATATTCCAAGTATATCTAAAATATATCAGAAATTATGGGATATCATCGCCAATATTTTTTTGAAGTTGCCTAGCACTAGTACTTTCTGAAAAAAATATTGGCGATGATACCCCATACTTTCTGATATATTTCATATATACTTGAAATACAAGTCAAAAAGTCATAATTTCTGCATATTGCTGTATTATTATTATTATCATTATTTGTAGCATATGTATTAATGCTATGTTGTTCTTTCATTTAAACACACTTGTCACCAGCTTGGGTTACCTGTGTGGCTAGA